TACTCTGAAATGGTGAAATGGTATAGGTTTAACGCTCCTATCAACACTTTTAGGATATTTAAGAGGCGGGGACCTCTGAGTTCAACGCGTCCATCTCCGAAAAGACTGGGTCAAATGTGATTTAGTGTAAAGTACCTTTCCCAAGGACACAACGTCTCACCAAGCTGAGGTTCGAACCCCTGGAGCCACAATCTCACGTTTACAAGTCCGGTAGCTTAACCACTTGGCTACTGATGCCACTTTATAATTTGAAATGCCTAGATCAGCAGGGGTCTCAAACCCTATTGAGGCCCCTCTTGACACTGCAGTGTAGTGTTTGTACCGCCCACCCTCTGTCCTCTAGCCAAATGTCTGTGCTGGTTTCTATGTTAGAGCAGGCGCTGCTATCTCTGGCACCAAGGAGTTGGTAGGTAAGAGAAGCCTAGGTTCTAAAGTCCCGTTCATGCTCTCAACTGCGATTGAATCATTGATAAAGATAAGACCAACTGTGCTTTTTTAACGCTTGAAGCCATTATTTTTTGGTCTGGAATACTTGATGCAGCCGAGACTCACCTAGACCCTACCTCCAGACCCCCTCCCCTCCCCCGGGTAATTTGAGTTTGAGTCCCTTGGCCTAGATCAATCCACATACGAGAATATAATTTGTAGGGCAAAAATTCCAAAGAAACACATGGACTGTCTGTGTTTACGTCTGAAATATATTCTCATAAAATCATTAAACTGTCTGTCTCCTCAACGATCACTCTGTTCTGTTTGAATTTTTATCTTGCAATGTTCTGTGACAAAAATCTAAAGTCATAATTGTGGGGGTATGAAAACCCGGAAAGAAAGGGGTGAATGGGAAAGAAAGGGGTGAATTGTAAGCGAAATGAAAAGAAAAAAGAAAGAGCAGGTTTTGAAAAGGGTTGATTTTGTGGTGTGCATGTTCATCTGGAGAAAAATATGGGGGGGGGGGGGGGGGGGGGAGCATCATCAAAAGAACCCATGAACTTTTACGTTGAGAGGCAACAACATTAACTTCGTCTCTGAGTTCTGATAGAACACTTTTGTCACGTGTTTCGTGCCAAGTTTTGCGAGGAAATTTCAAAATGGCATGCTAGATCTAGATCTCTAGATCTAGATCTCTAGATCTAGATCTAGATCTATATACAAAGCTGGACTGATCTTTTTGTACATGTACTTTTGTTTGAACTATATATAAAAAAGTAAAATAAAACAAAATAAAATAACAGAAGAAAAAGAAGTGATCATACGATGAATCTAGGGACAGCACTACTGAAACTAAACCTGGCTTGTTTGTTTGTATAGATCACACAGACACACAAACATACATCATAAAATAATGCATAGGATTAGCACATTAATGATTCAGAGGGCCTATAAACCGCACTAGGAAGAAAAACCTGTAGGAACTCCGGTAAAGCAGTTTTAATAACGGAACGTAGAAGAAACAGCAGAAAAGGAGAGCGAGGTAAATCTTATCTGCTGGTCTGGATCTCTGGATCTGTTCAAAATTTAATGTCACACTAAAATCACAGAAGGGAAGCTACGCCAACACATGGCTTACCTGCGCCTGTATCTTTTTTCCTGTCACTTGACTTACACGGATATAACTTTCAGCCAGTTCGACGAAACCTCACGAACTTAGATCTAAGTCCCACCTCGTTGAACAGGTAGAAAATAAGCATAGATTCAATATCCAAACATTTACCAGGACACGCAACCAAACCAAACTGGCAAAAGAACAAGTTTGAAATCGTCACAGCACTGCACTGCACAGGTCAAAGGCCCAGTTCGTTCGTTCCTCCGCGTCCCACACGACAACACACGCACGGGTAAACGAGCACGCACACTAGCCTGGACCCCGACAAGGGCACGGTAAATACCCTCTTGCCTTGTCCCTCTGTCTGTGCCAATCGAGTCCAGCGCAAACGACACACCTTTTCTCTCTCTCTCTTTCCCTCTCTCCCTCTCTCTTTCTCTCTCACCTGTGTTGACCTATTTCACGACGGAAGAAGGAAACCACTGCGACACAGACGTGCAGTCACACGTACTACGTCACACATATACGCGACCTTCGCCTCGCGACAAACCGACCAATGACAGCCCGCAGGGCAGAATGCATGCGCTGCTGGTCGGGAAAAGCGAGGGGGCATCCCCAACATGGACACGTTTGATTGGTTGTAGCTGTGATCGATGTTTGCACCGAACACTCGATTATAAACATGCCAAGCTGAGAACTACAGTTAGTGACTTACTGTTAGTGTGCGTCAAAATACTCGGGGAAAAACGGCAAAAAAACAAGGCGCAGATATGTCGATGTAACTCATATAAAAAAAGAACGACTAAAAATATACTGATTTCACCCATTATCATCCAAACAAGAGGAAGGTAAACTTCTTGTTATTGAAATATACTTTAAAAAACATTAACGATCTCAGAAAAAGCTCTCAGAGATTCGAAAAAGCAACAGTCTGTAACACAGGTGTAGATTACGAACAAAGTAAAAGGTCTAGCGTACAGTTTTATAGAGGT